GAAATATGTACAAATACATTTAAAGTCTGCTTCCTATTGGTTAGTATTGTTCATCTCAAAGCCATAAAACATTCAAGGGAATAGCTTCTAACAAACATCGTCAAATTCCTTGACTGTACCATATCTAGACTAGGTGTAGTCTGCGATTCCGTCCGCGAGGAAAAATCTTTATAAGAAATCTGTGTTCTTGCAAATTCATCCGTGCCAAATTTAACATTCGTTGAGCCATTCTGGAAATAATGACAAGCATCCGTCCATTTAATGTTGATTTATTTTTTTTTTTTACAGATCTGTTGATCTAAATATGATGTTTAAATATATTCCTTGTATAACTGTCTATCTGTCTTGTACCGGGCAATCTCAGAAACGGCTGGGCCGATTTCGACGGGAGTTTCACTGAAGGGTAGCTGACATGGATAGGCATATTATAGTCCACTTTTTTAATTCCGCGCTATCAAAATGGCGTAACGGGTAGTCCAAATATGCGCTAACGAAGTTTTGCGGGCGACAGCTCGTATTAAAACTAAATTCCCTCCTTCGTTAGTATTGTGCATTGCAGTAGTGTAGTGCGTTGACCTCTTGCACTTTGTCGAACTGTCCTTTAAGCGGTTACAAGAAACAAAACAAAACACATACGATCAGATATTTTGAAAACAATTGAACGATACACGTAGGAAATGAAATGTTTTAGTAATTACTAGATTTCGACCGCGACTCCGTCCGCGTGGAATTAAAAAAAACAAAAGTGTGTCCTATGTGTTCCTCCTGATTATCGTCCACGTCTGTACCAAATTTTAGCCGTTTAGACTATAAACTCTAATAAACATCCATCTATTTATCTACTTTTACTAACTTTCGCATTTATAATATTAGTATGATGATAACAGACTAGTTTTTCTTCGTCCATTGTAAAAAAAAATGTAAATAGCTTTTGTGTTCTTCTGCATTTGTATCGAACACCGATATCCGTTGAACCGTTATGGAGATATGTACGAACATCTGAATTATACCTAACCGTCACCCGCTTTGTCCCCACGTGGGAACAGATGTGAATAAAAAGTTTCATCCGTCCCACCTTTTCCGACAAGGGGACAGTTGGAACTTAGTTTATTTCATCACGGTTCCATCTGCCAGCTTAGTGACAGTGGGACTAGGTTGAAACTTTCATTCTCACGTGGGGACAGAGCGGGGAGACGGTTGGGAATAATACGGACAACCATCCAGATGTACGCATTCCATGATTTCATTTTAATTAGCTTCCGTTTAGCTTTTATCGTATGTGTAACATAGACTTTATCGTTATGCTAGACAGATCACAATGCGTATGGCATTAGTTGTGTGCATAGAGTTACAAATGTTATATAACAACTAAATATATACAAGATTTATATTTACATTGGTAAAAATCATACTAATGCTATAAATGCGAAAGTTTAGATGGATGTTTGAAAGTTTGTAACCTAAACTGCTGAACGGATTTCTATGAAATTTGGTATAGATAGAGGATATTCTGGAAGAACAGATAAGATACTTATTTTTTTTATTACACGCGGACAGAGTCGCGGGCGGACGCTAGTGAATTATACAAATAATTACGCAGTTATAAAAACATTAATGCTTACTATGTACGGGTTTTGTAGATATCAAATTATGATTTTAAAATATTTTCCATATTCGATTTAACATTTATTTGATAATGAGGAGAATCATGAAATACCGATTTATTAAAACCAATTTGTAGTTATAAATCTAAACAGAAACATATTTTAAAAAAAAATTAGGCATATTTTATTAAAAAGACACATGCAGGAAAATTTAAAATATTTCCTTTAATTCCTACAACATTATGTTGCAATTAATTCTATGTTATTTTTAAGTAACAATGATTTTTTTTAATTGTCTTTCACTTACTGCCTTTTATGTTAAGCAAAACTACACTTAGGTAAATAGTATGAATGATTTACATAATAGTTCACAATTTTTAACAAAATTATTTATACGTTCTCACCTTAATTTATGTCCAAAAATATTTCAACGTTCGTACGAACACTGCAATGTTTATAACAAAACCCACGTTTTTTAATCAAATAAACAATGAAACCCGACAAATACACGAACTATTTCATCATTTAGCATTATTTTTTTGTATTATTTGTCATGTTTAATGTTCAAAACATCACAATAACACTGAAATTTTACAACAAACGAGGAAATCGATAGGAAAGAGCGGGAAAAAACGACCAAACAGCGGCGCCGTCGATACCATACTAAACCTGATGACATAAAGTTACAAAATGGCGTGCTTACTGAGTTTGCGCAATATAAAGGCGTTTGCACAGTTTTGTTCTTCTATTTAAGTTTATGCGTTAAATAAACTACATATGTAAATAGAATAAAGTAAAGATCCGGCAAGCGACAGCCATTTGTATAAGGGATAAAAGGAGACAACTTTAATCCGACTGGATTACGGATTTAAGTTATCTACATATTTATTTGACTGTAATAAAAATAAACATCGCTCAATTATTCAATATTTCAAGGGTGTTATTAAATTCACAATTTATTTTTATTATTGAGCGTGTTTTATGAAATATTAATTAAAATACTAATAACTTGGTACACTTGTATCTACGAGTATCTACCTTCAAGTTACAATAAGTTACAGTTGAATTTTCCGCGTCATAATGATTTTGCCAGCGAACAATAGATGGCAGTGTAAATCCTTTTTTTTTTTGGAAGTGTTAGCAGCATTGAAAATTTCATTAATAAAGAAATATTTTATGTTTTAACTGTTATAAACCGACGACATTGGAAAAGAAACATGTAATTTTTACATTGAAACAGCAATGATTAAAATGGTTTATTTAAAAACCCTATGCTTACATTTAATTATACCTTAACCTTATTAGCAATGGCAATTATTTATGTGACAATTTCGTCTTTGAAGTGTTTGACATGACAGATGACAATTTGCGTTTCATACATTGGCGGTAAAATCGCATTTATTAATTACAAATCTAATTTGATTTGCGTGATATGTTTAATTGTTTAAAATGGCTGAAAAACTTGAAGATCTAAACCTGCCCATGTCTGTTGTGACTCGTATCGTAAAGGAATCTTTACCCGAAGGCGTAGCTATATCCAAAGAGGCTCGAACCGGTTTAGCAAAGGCCGCTTCTGTTTTCGTATTATACGTTACTTCTGCAGCTACTAATATAGTTAAAAATAATAAAAGGAAAACATTAACTGGTCAAGATGTGTTAGAAGCTATGAAAGATATAGAATTCGACAAATTCGTCGGTCCATTGACCGAAGCTTTGGAGAACTACAAACATGCTGTTTCAGCGAGAAAATCTGGCGCTGGGAAGAAAAAAGAAGACTCTGAAGAAATGGAAACAATAGAAGAAGATTAGGGTGATGATATTGTGTATTATTTTTAAAGTTATTATGCCTAGAGCTAGACAGTCTAGCTGTCCTTCCTTATTTTATAAAAGCTGAAAGTTTTACTATGAAATTGATAATATATTTATACAAATATTATAACATTACTTTATGGGTCCCCAAGTACCATATATAAAATTCAGGAAAATCTTAAGGTGAGGTATGGGTCACGCACTAAACATTATAAAAATAAAATCACCTTATTACTATGACGGCACTAAAGTTTCCATACAATGCAAAGTTTCTATGTAACAAATACAAAAATTCTATACAAGGCCCAACTTTTATCCCTTTTCCTTTCCACCCTTTTTCTCATCAGAAAAGCATGGGAAGGGAATGTGGATTTGATGGCGCAGGAGACGCATAGGAGGGGGATATATCCTCTTTATGTGCGTCTCCTCCTACATCAATCAAGGGTAGGCAATGCATTTGCTTTTGTGAATGTCTACGGGCAGTGGTCGCTTTGCCATTTTGGCGGATTTGGGTGCCCGCTTGCTCATTTGCCACCTTATGATATAAAAAAAAAACTTTAATACCTATTATCAAAATAACCACAACCAAAACTCCATAATCAATGGTCATTTTGACCTTTAAGCATGTGTATAATAAAACATTCAGCATTTATAAAATAAGCAGAGTTTGTCTCTCACTATGGTTATATGTTTTGTAAGCTAACTTCAATGTTGTCACCAAAAAAACTTATTTTAAGAAAAAGACCATTCTTGTATCACTATTATGTAGACTGTAAATTAGAATAAGTATTTTGTATATAGTTTATTTCATACTGAAGATAACAGCAAATTACTTAGCACAAGTTAAACAACTGTATTCAAATGTTGTTTCTCATATTTTAGGCAGTGGAATATAGCATCTTATTTTCTGTATACAAATGGATTTTTGTGTACAATTGTAACCCATAGATTTGCAATTTACAAGCAATTTCGTCTGATGAGTGGTGCCGGAGGCCTGACTTCAGTCCCTTTCCCTTTCTCTTAAGAGGCAAGGAGGGGAAGGAAAAGTGGATTTGACAGTGGAGACACATAGGAAGGGGAAATGGCCTCTTTATGTGCGTCAATGAAGGGTAGGCGACGCATCTGCAATTGCGGATGTGTATGGGCAGTGGTCACTTTCCATTTTGGTGAATTCATGTTGCTGCTTGCTCATTTGCCACCTTATTTTAATAAAAAAAATATCTGCAGCATAAAAGTGATAAAATATCTTGGAAGTCATTTTGTTGCTGTTGGGATAAATTTCTTGAGAATTTTCATTTACAATACAAAATGTATAACTAATTTTTGATTAGATATCAAACTTGAATAAACACTGCATTTATATATAGTAATATTATGAAAAGGAAAGATTTGTATTTTTATATGTATTGAAATAACTCAAAAACTACTGGGACAATTTAAAAATGCTTCCAACATTAAAGAGCTATGTTATCAGTGAGTAACATAGGCTACATTTTTTATTATTTCTTTAATTCACAAGTTGGCAGCAACAGCTAGTTGATTATACATCTGTTAATTTGCTATTAGTTTTATTGTATCATTAGTTAAGATATTCTGTGGGATTTTTAATAAAACACCATTTTTGTATTATAATTTTATTTGGGAATAAAATTTCTTGAGACACAACTTGGAATCTAAACTTAGAAACCAATGTTTCTCAATCTACCTACATCCTGTCTCTGGCTTTATTTACATTCCTCTGGAATTCCGCGACTACCCTCCATAACGAAAATAAATATTATCTCTAAATATATTCTGTTGATAATCTACATTAAATTTCTTTGATTAAATTCAATTTTTTATTGTTAGTTACTAATACGATATAGAGAAAAATTGGAAAGACTTAATGCTATGAAAGGTGTCATATTTGTACGACATTTGTCAAAATTTGTATTTCTGGCAACATTTGAAATGTTAGAGCAATAATGCATCCTTAACATTTGATTCTCATAGTAAAGGCTTAATGTCTGCAGTGTCACATTATGCCTTCATCGGAATAGGATCTGTGCTGTTACACATATTTTATAGCAATGTCATTTACAGGCTACAAAATTGTGAAAATTAATTAAATAAATGACAATTTAAAAATACAGACAAATTGGTAACTACCTTCTCTTGGGAAGTTGTTAAAAATATGAATAAAACCGTTTTAGAATTTGTCATTGAAAGTAAAACGTAAGTGTGAATTAACCGATATTGTGAATTTAAGCAAAAAAAACAAAATTTTATCGTAACAGCTCCAATATTTCAAATGTCTCATTTACGTTACAGAAAACATTGAGGTAGCATTCTATGCCGAATTGTTTTTCAATAAAATTTATACCAGACTTAACCTGAACTTATCGAAAATACGTTAAAGTTGGTGTTTCGTATAACGAAACGTTATTAACCAACATGCTTATGTTATAATTATATATAACTACTGGTGTTCAAATCGTTCACAATGAACTTCAATAATTACCAAATACATTATGAACTACCAAATCTCGCGTACATCTATTAAAATTTAATTATCTCAAATTACTAGTTATTGATGAGGTTATTTTGTGTTTATTTTTAGTAAGTTACCGAGAACGTGACGTCAAAACAAAATAATGTTAGGAAATGGGTCGCAATCAGTATCAAGTTCCCCAAAGAATCAATTTTTTTTGTTAATACTTTAAATTATAATAAGGTTTTGGGTTTAACTTTTTTTAAAGTGTTTGTATTGAATTTCTTAATTCAAACTCATCAATAACAAATTCCACTGTTTAATAGTGTTACAGCTAAAAGCTATTAAATGGAGTAAACTATGGTAATTCTAGATACACTATTTTGGGTAATACAGCCTCATTCAGTCCGTACTTATATTGACTTGGCAATTTTTTAAGATAAGAAAATAAGCTGTAATACAATTCTAATTAGAGAAGAAACTAAATACATCTGTTTACCGACAAAACTAAAGGTCTCGATTGAGCCTATTTGCATAAAATATCGGTATTGCGATGTCTTTAAAATCAGTATATTTCAATTTTATGTAGAGAAAGATATTATTTTAAAAATTTTGATTAATAAAAAAAGAAGTAAAAAACGTACTTAACATCCAATATAATTGAAAAAAAAGGAAAGAAAACAAATAAACAACAGAAAAATAAAAATAAATGTTTATTGAACGAGTTTTAAATAAAAAGGTAAGCAACACAGTCCAGTATTTTTACAAGGGCACGAAATTAAACAAGAAAAAAAATTAAAAATACATCAGTAAGTTTTATACACAAGTGAATACATTTTTATTACAAGGCGTTATATTAAAATATAGTAATCTGTCAAAAATTGCACATCGACCTTGAGAAAATATCAGTTGTCTCTCTCACAAAACAGAGAGATTAAAATCAGTTATAGAGTAGACAATACATTTGACTTTATAATCATCAGTAACTCAAATTCAATTTGATTTGATTGTAATATGGTGTCCTGTCTGTATATTTATTGAATGCCTATAAAATCATAAGTATGAGAAACTGCATATTTCTAAAGGTCAAATTGCAATAATTTTAATTTTTTTTTAAATATTTGTGCAAAGAAAACTAATAAGCTAAAGATTATGTTTTCTATATTTTTTCCACAAGAAAGATTAAAGTCACGACTTACTGGCTGAATAGACGTATTGTCATAACTTTTTAAAAGTATTAAATTGTTTTATTTTTTATTTATTGTCTGTATTACAGATTATAATAGCAAGATAAACATTAACAAGCGAGAAAAAACACTGTTTGAGCGATAATTTCGAAATAAATCGATTATAAATAGAAAACGATAACCACTAAAGAAATTCATGAAAATACTAAAATTTAATTGTAGTCACGGAAAGATTAAAAATTGTAAACTACAGATAAAACGTAGATTTTCGCGCCAAATATTAAAATATTGCCATTAGAAAAAAAAAATAGATTTATTTCTACACTAGTGATATACAATTGACTAATACTAGTTGGAATATTTATTATATTTACAAAAAAAAGTAACCCAGTATCGTAATATCGAATCTATTACTATCACGTTTAAATATCGAGAAAAAATTGTCTTTTCCTTTTTTAATTACCCATAAAGTTTGGAAACCAAACTATTATATAATCACAATTATTTGGTTGTTTATATATCTATTAAAATAAATAAAAAGATAATTGTAACTAAAAAAATGCAAACAGTTCAAATAAAGCTATAGAACCGTTTAGAAATTAATCTAAAAAAATGTACACGTTTGTCATAACAAGGTTAATAATTTTAGTCTTAAAACGAAACACGTCTATGGAAGATTCCTTATTAGGACTTATATGTATGCCATTTTAATTTTACAATAACTAATTGTAACGTTTTGTTATACAAGATCGACAATGCCATAAATAAATTTCCCAAGCATTTTTATTAGTAAATACTGCTTAATCTCGAGTGCTTCATCTTTTTCCCACTCTCTACCAACATATCTTTTATCTCTTTCATGTAACGTAATGACCTTGAACTATAACCTTTGATTCGTAACTTATACACTCAAAGGTCAATAAAGGATACTTAAGGGAGTCTCTTAGTAGACGCTAAGGGCTCAACCATTAATTGGCCCAGTATACTACGATTGTTTGAAATGAATATAGCATTATCGACCTTATTCTCTAAGTATTAAAGTTCATCTTACAATAATTGCTAGCAATTCTATCGTGTAATGAAATGTTATTTTATTATTGCTTTTATACCGGAATGGTAATGGCAGTGCTATGGAGAGGTTATCTAAGATTATTTGAATTTTCGACAAATATTGGTTCTTTTACACATACATTGGGATCCCATTCATACATCTACATTAATTACTTCACTCGCATCTCGTTTGCTCTAATGTTACGATTTATTGTTAAAAATCTGACTTTTTCTATTAATTAAATAAATTTTAAAAAGCGCCTGCAAAAATGTTATCCGCAATCGAAATTAAAAAACTTTGATGCATATTTTGTCTAATAAATGTACCTTTTTCCTTTCAATCATAAATATTCCATTCCTTTATTCATACAAATTAAAATATACTTCACATCACGCAATTTCTTAGTCATTCAATAATCATACAACATCCATACAAAATAATCACTAAAATCTAGAATACATTCTTTCTATGCATGCAAGAATGATATAGACGATCATTTACTCTTTAACTACCACGCTTTGATATCCACTAAGGGATTCCTTAGTGTAACTTTAGTACATCATTCAATAAAACACCTTTTTCAAACTACACAGCCATTTAAGAACCAACATATTTCAACTGTTATTCCATCTTTCATACAAACTCTTACAAACACATACATAATTATTTAAAAGCATAAATTAAAGTGATTTTAAAAGTTTTGAACGATTTTCTTGTATTTCTTTAAATACATTTTTTGATATTACGTTACATTTTATATTATTTACTCATAAATAAAAAAATTGTCACAATTAAAAGAGTTTTCTAAAACACATTTCGTGGTTATTTAAGTTGAAAAATTATCGATTTTAAATATTAATATTTAACATAATAAAACAGAAATATGGAAATTAATTGACAATTTTAAATGCAAAATTGCAAGAACGATTAGTATTTAGTCAAAACATTACAATCATTTTGTCTACTTCCGTTTATATTGAATTGAATTAAAATTTTTTACAAAATAAATCCAATATTTAAAAAAAAATCCCCACATTGAAAAAATTATTTCATATTATTTTTTTTTTAGTAAAATTGTTGATTTATTTTTGTAAAATATTGAATTTAATTTTGTCAAATTCGAAATTCATAAATTCTTATCACAAAATAAAAGATTACCTCCAGAACCATACATTTGTTAGTTTTGTATGGTTATGTATGATCTCATACATCAGTACGAAGCTTCATGTCCCGCCAGTATATAGAGGTCGTTGCCATCCTCACTGGATAATGTATTGTGTAATGTATGGGATTCTAAAACCACCACCCTGTAATAAAAAAATAAATTATAAGTGATAAATGCTTTTTTAACTAGTGTCTAATCGAAACATAAAATAAAATTGGAGTGAAAAAAACCCATAGTGGGCAAAAGGGTTTTTTAACTTAGTGTAGGTTCCGAGCCCCTCAGTGTGGTATGTATGTATGTATGAGTAAGTTTGCAATATGTATGGAGTATTTATGCAGTATGTATGGAGTATGTATGGAGCATGTATGCAGTATGTATGGAGTATGTATGAAGCATGTATGAAGCATGTATGGAGTATGTATGCAGTAGGTACTTGTCGTTGCCCAGCAGGTGGTAGGCTTGCAAGTGATCGGTGTGTATGTATGAAGCATGTATGGAGTATGTATGGAGCATGTATGGACTATGTATGCAGTATGTACTTGTCGTGTCCCAGCAGGCGGTATGCGCGCGAGAGGTCGGTGATCTCCTGCGTGACGTCAGCGTTGCGCAGCGAGCGGCCCTGCACGCCGTGCCGGTGGAACGCCAGCACAGAGTCCGCCAAGCACACTGACAACACATATATGCTAAACTAGCTGTTGCTCGCGACTTTACTCAAGTTAAATTAAAACATATAGCCTATGTTACTTATAGATAAATTACCTTTGTAATGGTGATAGAATTTTTAAAATCATCCCAGTAGTTTTTGAGTTATTTCAATACATACAAAAATGCAAATCTTTCCTTTTAATAATATTATTTATCATTAATCTATACTTATACTAGCTTTCGCCCGCGACTCTGCCGCATGGAATTAAAAAAAAAAGTAAACTGCTAAACGGATCACGTTTAAATTTGGTACAGATATAGAGGATAGTCTGGAAGAACACATAGGCTCAGTTTTATTTTTCTTAATTCCATGCGGACAGTCTCGGGCGACAGCTAGTAAGTTATGACTTACGTATAGTTTCTATATGGAAGTCGAACTGTATCCTGGAGACTAGCTTGTTCCTGCGGCGCTCCGCGAGCGCGGCGGGCAGCGCCGGGATTATATCCACTACGTTCTCGTGACAGACCAACACCTGCAACAAACAAACTATTGAAAATACTGACAAAAACATATTTATTCGCTTGCTTTTTTAAGGAATTCGCCAAAATAGCGATTAGATATACTGCTAGATGTAGACATATACAAATGTGTTGTTTTTTTAATCAACAAAGGTAGGGGTTAAAAAAATAACATTTTCCCCTAACTAAGCAAAATTCCCCCCAAATTCAATTCCTCTGTCATCTTTTTCTTATACGAAGGGGAGGGGACTAAAATGAGGAACTAACATCCTGTGACTTTACTAAGATTGAACGTGGAATTACTTCCACTTCAACCGTGTTTTGTATAGTCGTATTATTCCTGGGGATGGGGGAGTTGGCTCTACATTGTGAATATATATATGTATATAATATAAGCGTAAATAATTAATTACTGTAGATTCGAAAAGCCGTATATGCTATGGTTAGGCTTACGGACAGGAATGAAGTGGAAGTAATTCTACGACCACACAGAAGACAGGTATGAAGTGAAAGTAATTCCATGACCACAGAAGACAGGTGTGAATTGGAAGTAATTCCATGACCACACAGAAGACAGGTGTGAAGTGGAAGTAATTCCGTGTACTCTAATGAATGTGGTGCCGTACGCCTAATTTTAGTCCCTTTCCTTTCCCATAATTTTCTTAATATGATAGGATGAAAAGGAAAAATGGATTTGACGGTGGAGGAGAAGCATAAGGGAAATATCCACTTTATGTGCGTCTTCTTCTCCGTTATTAAGAGTAAGCGACGCATCTACAATTGTGGATGTATGGGCAGCGATCTCTTCGCTTTCTCGGCGAATTTAGGTGACCGCTCGTTCGTTTGCCACCTTATGATTTAAAACGGTTGGCAGCATTGACGCTACCACTATTTACAAACTTACAGCGTCCTTGTTCAGTTGGTGGACAGCCTTCAGCGTGTGTAGACGCTCCGGCCGCGGGATCACAGTGTTGGAAGCGCCCGCGCATGATTCCACCTCCTCAGAATGGAACCAGGTCGCACCTGAAATGTCATTTAATTAACTTTTACATGCGACTCCGTCCGTGAAATTTAAAAAAAAAACGCCTTCCAGACTTTTAGACTACCTACATCTATGACAATCATCGAGATCCGTTCAGCAGTTTGCGTTAAGTAAAACTCTAACACCCATCCATCCAAACTTTCGCTATTATAGTATTAGTAAAAGTAAGTTAGTTAACATTAAGTAATAACATAAGAGTAATTTATTTTGTACAACATCCACACTATCATACTCCAATTAGTTAAGTGCTTATTTGAATTAATCTCCAAGAAATAAACGAGAGCTTTTATAACTGTGTTTTAACTCGGTACCACCGCCATCTAGCGGCGACGTCCCTAACAAGTTACGACAAATGTCAAAACTCTATTTTACAAATTTTCATACACTGTTAAGAAGAAAATTATCGACTATTACCGTGCTGTAGAATTAGCGCAACACTAGATTATCGACATAAACGTCACGTCCCTAGCTGACAGCTGTCAATTTGGGAATGATTCGCGAGTATTTCTTACGAAATCTCTAGTGATGTGTGTATTAATATCGCTGGTTACAATTACATTAATTGTTTAAAAATACAATATACACTTTTATATGCTTACCAGAATTAATATTGATAAGGTTAAGTCTGAGCGGTTTTCTTGTGGCTCCAACACACAACAACGGGTACTCTAACTCTGGGGTTATTATCAACTCGAATGCCGACAGTGGTGTGGGTAGTACACATTCTATATTCTGTAAAAGAAACATATAATAGATATTTGAATATATATTATATCAAATTAAAAACATTACTCAATGATAAAGAAAAGGTTTTATAGAAAGTACTTAACATTAAGCATGGTTACAATTAGAAATATAAAAAAATCCAAACCGACAATACGAAAACTACACTCTCGGCAATACAAGGGCGTGTAGTTTTTATTATATGGGGCTACTCCCCCCTCCCCCTCTATTATATGGGGAGTAGCCCCATATAATAAAAACTACACGCCCGGAAATAATAGATTATTTGGCATGTTATACAAAACTACTTGCCCATTTAAACGGACTTATTGGATGAAAGAAGGAAATTGAGCGATGCAACAATATCAATAACATAAATATACCGTGCGAAGGGAGACTGTAAGAACACCCTAATTCCCAGTTAACTTACTTCCCTTCGGGCAAAAAAATAAAACTACACCTCCGGCAATACAAAACTACTACCCCGGCAATACAAAACCACTCTCCCGGCAATACAAAACTACTCCCCCGGCAATATAAAACTACTCCCCCGGAGACACAAAACTACTCCCCCGGCAATATAAAACTACTCCCTCGGCAATACAAAACTACTCCCTAAACCTCACCTTAAGCAGCATGAACTTCCTGAGCGGGTCATACCACTGCATAAGAAAGAGTCCTGCGGGCGTCGCGCCGCACAGGTACTTGTACCCGTTGTATGGATTGCGTGCCACCGCGCACCGCATGCAGCCTACATACATACAATAAAAATGGCAAAATTGTAATAAAGTAGCTTTTGCCCGCGATTTATTCCGCGCGGAATTAATGAAAATTAAGTAGCCTATGTGTTCTTACAGACTATTTAGTATATAGTGACAATCATTGGGATCCGTTCAGCAGTTTAGTCTACAAACTCTAACATCCGTCCATTAGCCCACCACCACCCATTGCCCCACCGACCC